CTTAATATTAATAAATTAATCTTATTTTATTTGAAATGAGCTCGTATGAACAAAAAAAATCATTTTATGACAAAATAAAATGTTATAGCGATTTCAAATAGATAATTGTTGAAATAGTCTAATTATTTAAATTTGTTCGGTAAATAGATTCATTTTTTAAATCCCTTAATTATTAATTTTTGAAATATTAATAACTTAGTATTATTTTATTTCAAATAAGCTTATATGAACTGAAGTAATTTTTTAATGACAAAACGAAATATCATAACGATTTGAAATAGATATTTATTCAAATAGTCATGACTATTAATCTAATTTGATAAACATATTTATTTTTTAAAATTTTTTACTTATTAATATTGAAATATTAATAAATTATTATTATTTTAATCTGAATAAACTTGTATGAGCAGAAGCTATTATTTTATAACAAAACAAAAAGTCATAACAATTTAAAAGAAATAATTGCTAAAATAATCATAACTATTTAAACTGATTTGATAAATAGATTTATTGCTTAAATCTCTTATTAATTTTAAAATATTAATAGTTTAGTATTTTTTATTTCGAACAAACTTACATAAACAAAAATATTTATTTTATGACAAAAGAAAAAGTCCTAATGATTTGAAATAGAAAATTATTCAAATATTCATAATCATTTGAACTAGTTAGATAAACAAAATTATTTTTTGGATCTCTGACATATTAATTTTTGAAATATTAATAAATTATTTTTATTTTATTCTAAATAAGCTAGTATGAATTGAAAAAATTGTTTTATGACAAAAAAACGTAATTTGAAATAGATAATTATTCATATAGTCTTAACTATTGAAATTAGTTCGACAAACAAATTTATTTTTTAAATCTCTTAGTTATTAATTTTCTAAATACTATTATATTAGTATTGTTTTATTTCAAATAAACATGCATGAACAAAAATAATTGTTTTATGACAGAATAAAAGGTTATAACGATTTAAAGTATACAATTATTCAAATAGTCATAACTATTTAAACTGATTTGGTAAACAGATTTATTCTTTAAAACTCTTATTAATTTTTGAAAGATTAATAAATTAGTATTATTTTATTTCGAATAAACTTGTATGATTAAAAATTATTTTTTAAATCTCTTAATTATTAATTTTTGAAATATTAATAACTTAGTATTATTTATTTCAAATAAGCTTATATGAGCTAAAACAAAAGGTCATAATGATTTGAAATAGATATTTATTCAAATAGTCATGACTATTTGATTTAGTTTGGTAAACATATTTATTTTTTAAATTTTTACTTATTAATTATTGAAATATTAATAAATTAGTATTATTTTAATCTAAATAAACTTGTATAAACAGAAACTTTTGTTTTATAATAAAACAAAATGTCATTACAATTTGAAAGAAATAATTACTCAAATAGTCATAACTATTTGAACTAGTTTGATAAATAGATTTATTTTTAAATCTCTTATTAATTTTTGAAATATTAATAGTTTAGTATTTTTTTATTCTGAACAAACTTATATAAACAAAAACATTTGTTTTATGACAAATTGATTAAAAAAATTTAGTAAAAAAATTCTAAATTTGAATGAAACAATGATGTTATTATATAAAAAGAAAATTATCTTATATATTGTAATTTATTGATAAATTAATTGTAAATCATAAATAACTTTGTAATAATTTAATTGATAACATAGTAGTAAATAATTGATAACTTAATAGCTAATTATTAAAAAGTTAGTAATAGATGAATGGTAATTATTAAATGCATAATAATATAGTAGTAAATTATTGAATTTAGTAGTAAATTACTAATAACATGCTAATAAATCACTTATAATTTAGTTGTATATCAATGATAATTTAGTAATAAATTCTTTAATCATTAATAATTTTATAGTAAATCATTGATAACGTCATAAAAAATTAGTTATAACTTTATAATAAATTATCAATAACTTAGTAGTAAATTATTCATAACTTAATAGTAAATCACTGATAATTTAATAATGAATCATTGATACCACAGTAATAAATTAGTGATAAATTAACTGTCAATCGGTGATAAATTTTTTTTATACTTAAAGTTTTTAATGATTAAACACTGTTTACTAGCAAGAGTGAAGTCAAAACTTAATAATAAATTATTTATAATAATAAATAAGTGTTAACTTAGTCGTAATTTATTAATAACTTAATGATAAATCAATTATAATTTAATTATAAATCAGTGATAACAATAAATTAATGATAACTTATAATAAATCAATTTTAGCTTAGTAGTAAAGTATGGATAACTTAATAATAAATTATTCATATTTTAATAGTAAATTAGTGATGTAACTAAATAGTAAATCATTGATAATATATAGTAGTTAATCATTGCTAACTTTGTATTTTTTTTGTTTTTATTGAATATTGATATAGAGCTATATATTTTTTAAATATGTGTAACATATTTGATTCATTTAAATTATTATATTTATTGCCATTTAATATTAAGGTATTGAATTACAAATATTTTATGGATATTGTACACATATAAATGATTAAAACAATATTCATGTGCCAATTACTATAACAACATAATTTTATTGAAAAAAATCAATTTTTGAAGTGAAAATTTGGAATGACTTTATCTAAATTTGTATGTCATTGATCGTCTGCTTTTAATCTTATATATAGAATTACATGTTATGTTTTACTAATATTGTTGTGTTATGTAGTATTTTTATTCCACTAATAGCACATTATCCAAAACATTCTTGTCTTTAAAGATATTCTTAAAATGAAAGAAACAAAATAAGAGTAACTAAACTTATTTAGAAAACACCAATCAGCAAAAATTACCATAAGTTATTTTCTCAAATGACATAATATATTTAAAATTAAAATATATATGATTTATTAATGCTAATAAAGTATGAATTTTATAAATTAAAATTTTATAACAATATAAGTTAAATGATGAATTTTTTGTATGACTTATATTGGATTATAATTAAGTGTTCGTCGAATAAAGAAATTACTCCATTTTAATTAAAAAAAGGAGTTTCAAATATTCAAAATATATTCATTATCAAATTTTATAAAAGTCTAGAGATTAAAATTAGTATTACAACTTCAAAATTATAATAAATATCTTTTGATATTTTATCTAAAATAGGTTATATCTTATTAATTTTAGAATTCTTATATTTCATTATTTAGCAACCAATAATAATATTAAACCAAAGTTAATTGAGAAATGTATTTCAATATTTAAAGAACAACATAAAAATACTATTTGATTATGATAAAATATACTTTTAAGTGTTATTTAAACCGTTATTATAGTAAGTTATAATGATATTATGATAAAATATATTTTAGTAAGTTATACATATTTAATGGCTTTTTAAGAAATCAATATCCATTGTAAATATATAAATAAATATCATTGATGATTACATCGAGATAATAATAATTCTTGATTGCTTAAAATCCTTTTTTTAGAATATGTTTATAAATTAATATTTTTTAATTAGTAAAATTCATGTAAGTATGCATTTTTTTTACTATAAAATTAAACTACAAAATGATTTATATGACATAAATAAGTACATATCAAAGTAAGTGATCATAAAAAAGAAAACTTTATATATTTACTTTATTTCAAGCAACAAAAACTTTATAACAATATGGTTTCAAATCAAAATAAAAAATTTAAATTTTCAATAGCAAATAAATGAAAAACAAGAGTTTAAATGAATTCAACGATGATCAATTATTTCACAAATTTATAAATTAAAAATAAAAATCCATTATAAAAAAAGTTAAAAGAAAAAGCTCGAGAAAAAGCATAAAACAGAGAAGAAATAGAAGTACAAAATTCAATTTGATTGTGCTAGAAGACAATTATTTGAAAAAATTTAAAAAGAAAGAAAAAAATATATGAAAAATGAATGAAGATGATGACCTAAAACCAAAAAACTTAAAAGAAAACTTCTAAAAAAAGTTAAAATAGAGAAAGATTAAATATTTAAATATTTATTCATTTATTTGAATTTTAATTTCAAAATTTTGTTATATTTATTTTTTTCAAACTTAAATTTATATTTCCAATTTAATTTAGCATGATAATAGTTATTTCAATTTTATTACTATAAAAATATTAAAATTATTTTATTATATTAGAATTATAATTTAGTTAACAATTATGTGCTATATAATATATATTTATAACAAATTTCTTGTACAAATTGCTATAGCTTAGAAAGAAAAACAAGTTTTTATAGTTTCCAAAGGTGACGGCTTCATGACTTTCCAAGTTATGTGCAATTTAATAATATAAAATTTTGTTCTCATTTATTTGGATAAAAGTTGCTTGCACAACATGAAAACAAATGCTAATCGTCTAAATATAAAATATTTAAGGTTGGCCCAACAAAATAAGGCTATCTCATTTTGCAAAAGAAAAATTCTACTACATTTGCCTTAACATTATCCTCAGGTTAGAATTATTGAAACCAACATTTATTTTGTTGCCAAACATATACCATAAGCCAGCCAATTTCAAAACAAAATAATTTATTTCATATGGCACAAAAAATATGTACATCAAATTTTGTTCGGATTAATTTTAAAATTGAGTCAAAATAATTTGTTAAATAATTTTTATACTTGAATCTACTCAATTTAAAAAATATTATCATTAATTATTATCTCAATAAATATTTTAAATTTATTAAACCTTTAAATAAACCGAACAAATTAAATTTTATTCTAATTAATTTCATTTTAAAATTATTTTATCTAAATTATTTAGATTTGTGAGGGCTCAATAAAAAACTGTGACCTATCTTATTTTCAATTCTTACTATTCCATTATTTTATTTTAATTTCTTTGAATAAAAGTTAAAAACAAAAAAAAAAGAAAGCCTGAAAGCTTTAAACAATTAAAATTCAAATAATTCCACTGATGAATTCAAGCCAATTGCCCACTGTATTGTTGTCTAACTTGTCAGCACAAAAATTGAACCTAAAGTCTCTCAAATCTCACAATATCAGAAATTTGACTTAAAGTGTTACTCAAATCTAAAAAAATTGGGGATTTGAACTGGATCTAACGCTTTAAATTGAGGCGAGAGACGAGGCCAATCTTTTCTAGAAAAACCTTTGAATGGCATTTTTTTCTGGAGGCCAATTTTTGGATGAAGAAGGCAATGCCAAAATTCCAACATGCCATTGCCTCCACCGGCAACCATGTGTACCACCATACCTTCCTGTCTTAAACCGCCACCACCATCCCATCCCCTTTCCTTTGCCAGCCGATCACCAACCCAACCCCACCGATCTCCGAACTACCCCACTAAGAACAGCTCCCATCTCCCTCCTACCCACCACCCACAGCCCTACTGAGATAGCCATCGAAACTACTAAAAAATAAATAGCAACTATCACAGCCAATAACAGAAAATCAAAAAACCAAGCCAGCAAAGCCAAAAAAAAAATGCAAACAACCACAGTCCTCTATTGAGGAATCCATCAGGAAAAAAAAAGAAAGAGAAAAGGGCCCGTTGAGGACGAAACGGGCTTTCGGTCATGGGATTTTTTTTTGTTTTTATGAGTGATTTGTGAGAGTATTTTTAAGATTTTGGAAAAGCAGAGAAAAGAGCTATTTTTTGGGCGGTGGGAGCGACGGCGGCGTATGGATGTCAGCAGTGGCGAGGAGACTTTTGGATAATCCGAACAGGTAGAAAGAAAGGATGGAAGGGGAGAAACAACATACTTTGGTTTCAGGACGACCGGATGGCAAGAAGAGGGTGAACGGCAGTTTAAAATTTTGGGATAAAGTTTCAGATCTAAGCTATTATGAGGTGATTTGAGAAAAACAGAGGTTGAATCTGAGACGAGAAGGAAGAGAGGAGTCCACGGCTGAAATTTTGGAGCCAACTAACGTCAAACGGCGACGGTGAAAGGCGGTCGGGTCGGCTACTATCGTCGGGATCTGGGGTAGGGGAGAGTGGCCTAGTGTGTCTTTTTGGAAAGAAAATGTTGCTTTTTGAAAGAGAAGAAGAATGAAATGATATAAAAAAAAGTTTTGCATTTTACAGTATAGCAAAAAATGAAAAACACAGGTTTGATGCTCTTGACCCGACCCTCTTACAATGTTTGTATTTAGCAAAGTGATCAATGAACATGGAAATCGTTATAGCACATTTCTCTGATGATGTTGTAGATAATAAGGTATGTGCCTATAACATTTTTATTATTTTAATCGATGGCATTTGTATAATAGATCTTTATTATGGTCTGCAGCCAATTCAAGCTATTTACATAGATGAGATTAGTTCATATCTTTAGTTTGTGATACTTAATTATTTTGTTAACTCTGTCACTGTAAATTTTATTCTACAGTTTATACTCAGACTGCTTTATATTGCAATTAAAGTTAGATTTTCTGCTTTTATTGATGAGTTACAGTTATGAACTAACTCCTATTCCAAAAAGAAGAGAGAAAGAAAGAAAAGATGAAGATGAAAACAAAAACATTTTTTTGGTGGACTGTTATGATTATGTCAATTATCATTCATCCAAACCTATTTTTCCATGTGTCCATTTTAACTTTTTGACCATATAATTATAGATTCGTATGGAAACTCCATCTGGGATTAAGGACTCCATTCCTGCTTGGATCAGGTTCTCTGTTCAAGCACCAGGTGAAATCCCATACAATGAAATATAGTATGATCTGCCAGAAGAGGTATAGTTAGTGGCTGTTTGATCTTTGGGTTTTGTTGAAAGATTAGATAACTTATTCTTTTTAAACTATAAGCAGATAAAATATTTGGCGCTTGGAGAAAATCAGAAATACCAACTAATGTTTATATGATAATTTTAAAATGACTGCATGTGTGTGAAGATTTATAGATAAAAGCATGCATGTATGCTTGCACACAAATATGATTAATTGGTTATATAAACAAATAATGAATTTCTTATTCATCTTAGTATAGGTTGTTCTGATGAATGTCTTCCTTTATAATGTTAATATTAAGATCAATGCCCTTAAAGATTTTTAAGAGAACAATTTTGATTGGTTCATTTTCATATATGAAGTCAGTTTCTAAATTGTGTTCTCGCTTGTTCAAGTTTAATCATTGCATAGCACAGTCAACTTAGTTTAGTCTGTAATATGTGTCTTATCGTAAATTTTTGTACTCTCTAACCTGACTAATGATTTTTATATTGTAACAGGAAAAGTATGTATTCAAACATCCCCAGCCAAAAAGACTAAAATCACTTAAGTCTATGAATCACATGTTGGAATGAGTAGCATGGTATGGATCTTCCTTTCCCTTGCATGTAGCAAATTGTTATTCAACTCTTCTGTCTCTGTGATGAATTGCATTTTCTTGATTTATTTAATCTTAAAAGAGGAAACCTTAAGTTTGATAAAAAGCTTCATTAAATGCTATAACGTGTGGGATCATATTTTTTATGCTATTTCTTTCAACCTTTCCTATGAAGTGTTCCTACAAGGTTTTGAGACCGAAAAGTAAAGCAGGAGGTTTTATAAGACAATATATTTTACAGGAAAACTTATCTTAGTATCTATATTTAAACTATCAATTTTACCCCCCCCCCCCCCCCCCCCAAAAAAAAAAAAAGAAGGAAGATAGAGAGACATTTTGACTTGCATTGAACATCTTAAGAGCATCAAACAGTATAGTTGTTTGGATATGCCTGTAAATTTTGAAACGAAACTTTCCTGCATCCTATAGGCGGGCTGGGGAAAATCTGTCTAAGCTAGCAAAAAGCCATGTAGGTGTATACGGCCTACTTTTCGTGTTTTTTGGTTAAAGGAAGTCCTTCCATTTGGATTATACTAAATAATGAGTATTACTTTAGTTAACGATAATGCAAATGCCAAATAGCTAGTGACTTGGATCTTTAGTAACTGCTTTGTGTATAAAAATATCTTGAATAGTAGTTTCAAATCAATAACATAAAAGTTGGTTTGATTGCATTTCATATGATTCTTCACCCATTTCTAAAGCCCACTAAGAAAGCCTAAATTTGCAATTAAACCAAAATTTATCTCTAGTTTTTGTCATACTGTCATTCAAAGAAAATTTGTCCCACAAACACCTTTAGTCTTTATCTTCCATGGTACACTTTGGTACGGTTAATCCATTTCTTAGTTTTCTTAATATTATCAACTTTGAGATGCAGGAGCCAATAATTAACACATATGCCAACTTTAGAGATAATGTGCTTCCCCGCATTAAAAGACTTGGATATAATGCTGTTCAAATCATGGCTATTCAAGAGCACTTGTATTATGCTAGATTTGGGTATTATCTCCATCAAAATATCAGCTCATCTTTATTTGTTGTTGTTTATGTTTGTTAACTTGTACTAAAATGTTGTGTTTTGGATGTAAACAGAAATATTTCTTCAGAATTTAGTTTTGGTTATGAAAACTAACCTCTTCTACTTTTAACAAGTCGCATTTAATATGTTGCAGGTATCATGTGACAAACTTCTTTGCACCAAGTAGCCATTTTGGAACCCCTGATGATCTTAAGTCACTGATAGATAGGCTCACAAGTTGGGTCTACTTGTCCTTATGGATATTGTGCATAGGTAATAATTGGACTTGTAGGAGAATATCATTTCTAGAAACACACCCTTCAGCTTTATTTGCTGTTACAGTTTTTGTGCAAACAGTTTTTCCCAGCTTTTTCGTACCAAAAATAAAAATATAAACTTTTTTTCTTTTTTTTGTCCTGCTTAGACTTAATGGTCATTCTTTTGGTAGACTTGATGCAAATATGGCCATGAGAATTTAGGCTATTATTGGTCCTTGCTCTTCCTGTGTTTTCTCTAGTTGCTTTTGGCTTCCTAAATGGTTTCTAAAGAACAAACCTAAAAGGGAGAAAGTAAAGAAATAATTGTTTGAAAATATATATGATTAAATGCAATATAATTTGTAGTATAATTGTTCTATTAAAAGAGAAATCATAGTACTTTGTTCTACAAGAGATTATATTTTTTATTTTTAATTCTTTTAAAGTATTATCGTCTTTTCTACCCATACATACTTTCTGCTTCTGGAAGCAAAACGCTAGTAGCAAAAACAACTACCAAATGGAATCTTACTATATTGTTTACAATGAAAGTTTTTATCTTTTGCATGTCGTTAATGTTAAATTCTTTTCTAAGCTGTAGCAAATTTTTATTCAAGTATTTGCTCTGTTGCTTTGAGTGAGTAATCTTTTGCTATAAGTCTCAATTAATTTTTTATTCTTTTGTTAAATTAACTTATTAATTAATTTTCTCATCCATCTTTGTATCATACTAATGTTTGACAAATACGGCCATGCATCTGATAATGTGTTAGATGGATTGAACATGTTTGATGGAACCGATGCTCATTACTTCCACTCGAGGTCAAAGGGTCACCATTGGATGTGGGATTCTCGCCTTTTGAATTATGGAAGCTAGGAAGTATGTACTTCTACTAAAACTTCTCTTAAACAATAGCTTGTTGAAATATTTTGGCTTCCTTCCATCCTATTGTGTGTAAATATTAATTTTTACTTGTTGCTTTAGGTACTAAGGTTTCTTCTTTCAAATGCAAGATGGTGGCTGAACGAATACAAGTTTGATGGGTTCAGATTTGATGGTGTGACTTCAATGATGTACACCTATCATGGGTTGCAGGTAATATCTAAGTGAGTTTGCAAATTTTCTATTTTGCTTGGTGTTATATAATAAGTTACTTGCTTGTTCAGATGTTAATTATCAAAGTTTTGACTTTATGTCTTTATGTTATATAGAGAAGTAGAATTGATGTAACATTTGGTTCTTGTAAGTGGTGAAGCATCATTTCTCTATGTTTGTTTCTTAACTAAATTCTCGAGGACTAAAGGTTGTTAGTGTCATTGCATCATTATAATGTATTATCCCGGCTTAACCTTTGTTTTCTTGAACTTGCTGTAGGTAGCATTTATTGGAAACTAAAATGAGTACTTTGGATATGCAACTAATATAGATGTTGTTGCCTATCTGATGCTGGTTAATCATATGATTCATGGGCTATATCCTGAGGCTGTCACCATTGGTTAAGATGTATGTTCTATAACTCTTCTTTGAGTCACATTGAGCATCCTTCAACTTATAATCGTTTATCTGTTCCAGAATTATGACGTCCCCTTTAAGCCCCCTGTCTCCTTTATAGCAACATTTGTTGCACTGGGTTGCGTAAATGGAATGAGGTTTCAATACTTTTTTACGTGATCCATGAGGATGCTAAGTGTAGAAATGGTTTTGAAAAAGTTTGCGCACATGTACTTGTGTGTGCGTAAGCCTACCAAACATTTGTGTATTGTACATGTTTTTCTAATTCTCTACTGCTTCATCACTTCTCTTCATGCATTAATTGAATTCATATGCCATGAATAAGTAGGTTACCCTGCTAGTAGTTAAGTGTTTTGATATTGTAGAATGAACTAAAGAATTGAAAAAAATGCTTGTTGTAAATTGAACTAATTTTTATTGTAGACCAAGAGTTATGGAAACATAGCAACTAAAGATGCCAAAAATGAAAATTCCAAAAACACTTGAAAGGAACAAACAAGAATCTCTAGAAATCTTAAAATATACTTGCTTTTCACATATTTCATCTTTTGTGCAAATAATTCACTTAAAGAGCTACTAGCACAATAAAAGGTAATTTATGTTTTACCCCTTAGAAATATTAGCATAGTAACATTTAATTGATAAAATGTTTATATTGGAGTGATTTAGTTGCTGATTTTCATATATTATTTGCAAAAATAACATTCATGTTTTATGAATGTTGAAGAGGAAAAGAAACAATAGTTGAAGGTAGACTTCCACCATCTTAAATTGTCATCTGTCATAATAATCAATTCTCCCCTGCTTTTCTCTGACTCTGACCCATGTGCTCTAAGATGTATGCCTTAAGAAATTGTAGTATTTGCAATACCAGCTGTTCATAAGTCAATGCTTATATCTTCTCTAAATGCAACTGTTGAAAGAAGTTAAAAGTTATCTAAGTTTGGTTTGTCAAAACATTTAGCTTAATGTTAAATGTGAATGTAAACATGGATCTTTATATATATATATATATATATATATATATATATGTGAGCATGAATGTTCTTCTTAATGTCTTAATGGGGACCAAAGATTAGGTGTATAGTCTGGTGCAGTTAGTATTCTTAAAAGCCCCAAATAGAAAAAGTTAAGAAGATAAACCCTGTCAAAGTTTCTATAATTAAGTGCGAAAGTCACCTTGCTTATGTAACAAATAATTGTATTAGCTAATTCATCTATTTAATGCCATGCAGTCTCAAGTATAAAAGAGAAGGTGACTGTGTTCTAAGTGCTTAGAAAGCTATGTTGATTTACATTGGCAGTGATCTATTGTCTATTTCTATATTTAAATAACATCTAATGGTCAATTCTACAAATATTAATTGTTTTTTAACAAAATGAGTTTGGTGTCTGGGAGATCTTTTGGCTTAATAATGCTGATTGTTCACCACCAATTCCCCATGGTTCTCAAGTGAAGGTAAATTACCTATAGATGAACATAAGTTTGGCTCTTGAAAGCTATTGTGCTTACATTCAAATGCTACTTGTTTATTATTTCCTTTTTCCTCTTTTTAAGTCAGAGTAAAAAGAAAGTACAAAAAACCTGCAACTCTTTCCCTGTAGATCAACAATGTATTTAACCTTTTGATCATGATCTGTGGACCAGGAACCTTTAAGTATGATGCTTCTTTTTTTACATTGATCCTATTACATGTGTATATGGTTTGAATAAATCACTGGTTTATACTACAACCTTTACAATAATTAATTACTAGAATTCATGACATAAAGGCATTGAAGTATTTAATGGGGTGGTCTTCAAGTCAATCAAAATTATTCGAGGTAGCTGAGTTCAAATCCAACTAACTCCTACCCCAAAAAGAAGGGAGAAAGAAAGAAAAGATGAGATGAAAAAAAAAATTTTTTCTGGTGGACTGTTATAATCATGTCAATTATCATTCATCCAAACCTCTTTTTCCATGTGTCCATTTTAACTTTTTGACCATATAATTGTAGATTCGTATGAAAACTCCATCTGGGATTAAGGACTCCATTCCTGGTTGGATCAAGTCCTCTGTTCAAGCACCAACTGAAATCCTATACAACAAAATATACTATGATCCACCAGAAAAGGTATAGTTAGTGGCTGTTTGATCTTTTGGTTTTGTTGGAAAAACTAGATAACTTATTCTTTTCAAACTATAAGCAATTGAAATATTTGGAGCTTGGGGAATATCAGAAATACCAACTAATGTTTATGATAATTTTAAAATAACTGTATGTGTGTGAAGATACATAGACAATAGCATGCATGTATGCCTGCGCACAAATATGATTAATTGATTATATAAACAAATAATGAATTTCTTATTCATCTTAGAGTAGGTTGTTTTGATGAACGTCTTCCTTTATAACGTTAATATTAAGATCAATGCCCTTAAAAGTTTTTAAGAAAACTATTTTGATTGGTTCTTTTTCATATATGAAGTCAGTTTTTAAATTGTGTTCTCGCTTGTTCAAGTTTAATCACTGCACAGCGCAGTCAACTTAGTTTAGTCTGTAATATGTGTCTTATCTCAAATTTTTGTACTCTCCAACCTAACTAATGATTTTTATACTATAATAGGAAAAGTATGTATTCAAACACCCCCAGCCAAAAGGACCAAAATCACTTACGTCTATGAATCACATGTTGGAATGAGTAGCATGGTATGCATCTTCCTTTTCCTTGCATGTAGCAAATTGTTATTCAACTCTTCTGTCTCTGTGCTGAATTGCACTTCCTTGGTTTATTAATCTTAAAAGAGGAAACCTTACGTATGATAAAAAGCTTCATTAAATGCTATCATGTGTGGGATCATATTTTTTATGCTATTTCTTTCAACCCTTCCTATGAAGTGTTCCTGCAAGGTTTTGAGATCGAAAAGTAAAACAGGAGGTTTTATAAGATAGTACATTTTATAGGAAAACTTATCTTAGTATCAGTATTTAAACTATCAATTTTAACCCCCCCCCAAAAAAAAAGATAGAGAGACATTTTAACTTGCATTGAACACCTTTAAAAGCATCAAACAGTATAGCTATCTAGAAAGGCCTGTAAATTTTGAAATAGAACTTTCTTGCATCATGTAGGCAGAGTGGCCTCTCTTAAAGAGAAAATCTGTCAAATTAAGCTAGCAAATAGCCACGTAGGTGTATATGGCCTACTTTTCGTGTTCTTTGGTTAAAGGAAGTCCAACCGTTTGGATTATACTAAATAATGAGTATTACTTTAGTTAATGATAATGCAAATGCCAAACAGCTAATGACTTGGATCTCTGGTAACTGCTTTGTGCATAGAAATATCTTAAATAGCAATTTCAAATTAATAACATAGAAGTTGGTTTGATTGCATTTCATTATGATTCTTCACCCATTTCTAAAACCCATTAAGAAGCCTAAATTTGCAATTAAACCAAAATTTATCTCTAGTTTTCGTCATACTGTCATTCAAAGAAAATTTGTCCCACAAACACCTTCAGTCTTTATCTTCCATGGTAAACTTTGGTATTATCTCCATCAAAATATCAACTCATCTTTATTTGTTGTTGTTTATGCTTATTAACTTGTACTAAAATGTTATGTTTTGGATGTAAACAGAAATATTTCTTCAGAATTTAGTTTTGGTTATGGAAACTAACCTCTTCTACTTTTAACAAGTTGCATTTAATATGTTGCAGGTATCATGTGACAAACTTCGTTGCACCAAGCAGCCATTTTGGAACCCCTGATGATCTTATGTCACTGATAGATAGGGCTCACAAGTTGGGTCTACTTGTTCTTATGGATATTGTGCACAGGTAATAATTGGACTTGGAGGAGAATATCATTTCTAGAAACACACCCTTCAGATTTATTTGCTGTTACAGTTTTTGTGCAAACGATTTTTCCTAGCTTTTTCTTACCAAAAATAAAAATATAAACTGTTTTTCCTTTTTTTTTTCCTACTTAGACTGTATGGTCATTCTTCCGGTAGATTTGATGCAAATATGGCCATGAGAATTTAGGCTGTTATTGGTTTTTACTCTTCCTATGTTTTCTCTAGTTGCTTTTGGCTTCCTAAATGGTTTCTAAAGAACAAACCTAAAAGGGAGAAAGCAAAGTAATAATTGTTTGAAAATATATATGATTAAATGCAATATAATTTGTAGTATAATTGTTCTGTTAAAAGAGAAATCATAGAACTCTGTTAAAAGAGAAATCATAGTATTTTGTTCTACAAGAGATTATATTTTTTATTTTTAATTCTTTTAAAGTATTATTATCTTTTCTAACCATAAGTACTTTCTGCTTCTGGAAGCAAAAAGCTAGTAGCAAAAACAACTACCAAATGGAATCTTACTGTATTGTTTACAATGAAAGTTTTTATCTTTTGCATGTTGTTAAATGTTAAATTCTTTTCTAAGCTGTAGCAAATTTTTATTCAAGTATTTGCTCTGTTGCTTTGAGTGAGTATGTTGCTTTGAGTGAATATGTTGCAAATTTTTATTCAAGTATTTTTATTCAAGTAAGATACAAATTTTTAGTATGTACTTCTACTAAAACTTCTCTTAAACAATAGCTTGTTGAAAGATTTTGGCTTCCTTCCATCCTATTGTGTGTAAATATTAATTTTTACTTGTTGCTTGAGGTACTAAGGTTTCTTCTTTCAAATGCAAGATGATGGCTGGACGAATACAAGTTTGATGGGTTCAGATTTGATGGTGTGACTTCAATAATGTACACCCATCATGGGTTGTAGGTAATATTTGAGTGAGTTTGTAGATTTTCTATTTTGCTTGGTGTTATATAATAAGTTACTTGCATGTTCAGATGTTAATTATCAAAGTTTTGACGTTATGTTATATAAAGAAGTAAAACTGACGTAATATTTAGTTCTTGTAAGTGGTGAAGCATCATTTCTCTATGTTTGTTTCTTAACTAAATTCTCTTAAGGACTAAAGGTTGTTAGTGACATTCATCATATTACTTTGTTATAAGATTATCTCAAATTACTTTCTAATTGCACATTGAAATTTGAATAGATTGCAATAAATCGCATTTTCAAAGCTAAAAACATAAAGCAATAGAATTCTCAGATAATAACATTGTTTCAGTTGCCATTGATATAATAAGAGTTTTATAGGCACTCATAACAATTCTAACCCACTATCAAGATTATAAGTTATGTTTTCAGAAATTTTGACATTAAAAAAAATTACACAAAACACAAGGATAAGAAAGAATGAGATAAGTCAAACTATTTTTTAGTTGTAATCTCTATCATATCCCCCACTAGCAATTTTATTGCTTTCATTTAATGTCCACCTCAAAAAACAAATTTCTCTTTTCAAAGTCCAATTGTTCTACAACAATCACTCGGAAGTGTGAGAAGTGTGAGAAGTGTGAGAAGTGTGAAATTTCAGCAAATAGTATTGGAAGGAACGAAGATAAGCACACTGTTGGAGTTGCCACTAGAAGCAAGAAAAAAGTTTTATTAAGTTATAGATTATGTACAAACTTAGAAACAAGGAGACAAATCTTAAATGTGAGTAATTTTTTACCAAACATATATATATTTTATGTTTTAGTTCTTTTAAGAATTACATATTATAACTTGATAAATGTTATTCGATAGCCTTGATTGAAAAGTGAGAAAGTGATAGCAGTTTGGACAAGCAAAGGCAAAAAGTAGGTTGTTGAGGATGTAATTAGTACTTAAGAAAGTTAAGTCCTTGCTTCTAAAAGAAATAAAGGGAAACAAAAAACAAGAGAAGTTGAAAATTTATTCTGTTGACAACTGTTGCCAGCTATTGATGTTAACTATGTTTTTTTCTTGTTAGTGTCTTAAAAACGCTTTCTATTCAATCTTTTGTTGGTTGAATGTTTTCTATACTGAATGTTGGGTAAGAAACTTTTTGTCGACATTCATCAGATTACTTTGTTATAAGATTGCCTTTAGTATCAGATTGTCGTAGATTACTTTCTAGTAGCACATTGCAAGTTGAATATATTGCACTAAATCACATTTTCATAGCTAATAACATAAAGAAATAGAATTCATAGCTAATAACATTGATTTGATAGCCTTTGATACGATAAGAGCTTTACAAGCCCCTATCACAATCTTGACTCACTATCAAGCATATAAGTTAAGTTTTCAAAAATTTTTTGGTGTTGAAAAAGATTACAAAAAATCCAAGGATAAAAAAGAATGAGATAAGCCAAATTATTTTTCAGTTGCCATCTCTATCATGTCCACCACCAGTAATTTCATTGTTTTCTTTCAATTTTAACCTCAAAAAACTTACTTCTCTCTTCAAAGTCTAACTTTTCGACAACAACCATCGGGAAGAGAGCAATTTTAGCAAACATCATTGGAAGTCACAATGATAAGCACATTCTTAGAGTTACCACCAAAAAAAACCAAGACAAAAGTTTAATGAGGTTATGGATTATATATAAACATAGAAATTGGGAGACAAATCTTAAATATTAGTAATTCTTTACCAAACATATATATATATTTTTTGTTTTAGTTCTTTTAAGTATTACCTATTATAACTTGATAAATGTTATTTGATAGCCTGGATTGAAAAGTGAGAAAGTGATAGCAGTTTGGATAAGCAAAGGCAAGAGAAAGGTTACTGAGGATGCAATTGGTACTCAAGAAAGTCAAGTTTTTACTTCTAAAAGCAATAAGGGGAAACAAAAAACCAAAAAAATTGATATTCAGTTCTATTGACAGTTGTTGCTAGCTACTGATGTTAACTATATCTTTTTCTTGTTAATGTTGTAAGAATGCTTTCTATTTTCTATACTGATTGTTGTGTTTGAACACTATCTATTGCCATTCATTAGATTGCTTTGTTATAAGATTGTATTTAGTATCAGGTTGTCTTAGACTACTTTTTAGTAGCACATTGCAAGTTGAGTATATTTCACTAAACCACATTTTCACAGCTAATAACATAAAGTCATAGAATTCACAGCTAATAGTATTAATCCAATTGCCATTGCAAATGGTTTTTTTATGCTCATAATTGTTCAAAAATAAATTTTGATATTTTAAGTTTCAAAATCCTTTATTACTTGCACTCAATACTGTGAAAAATTAAAACCAATGCAAAGTTATTATGTTTCTTTGCTTGAACAAGTTTAAAACATTGGATTCAAGATATTCAAATTCATTTTTATTTAAAAACTTGCTAAAATAATATTTTATATTTTAAAACCAAGGCAAGTTATCATGTTTTTTTGTTTGACCAAGTTTAAAAGATTGGATTCAAAATATTCAAATTCATTTTCATTTAAAAACTTGATAAAACAATACTTCATATTTTAAAGTTTGAGTCTAACAAAAATTATTTTTAAAACAAAACATAAAATTTCAAAAACATTAAGTTTTGAGTGATCTCCCTAAGTTTGTGCATAAATATAAAAACAAGCTAGCACACAATTAATCACATCAAGCACTACTAACAATTTCACAAATAATATCCAAAAATCAAGATCATTCACGCAATCCCAAGATTAAGAGCATTCATATGTAATCCCACAAATTCCTTAGAGCATTCATGAATTCTCCTGAAAATGCACTAAAGCAAATAATATGAAACACAACGAAAATTAAAATTGTGCGAATGGTTTTTATATCACAATTTGAAATTGTGCAAATGGTTTTTTTTGCCCATAATTGTTCAAAAACAAATTTTGATATTTTAAGCTCCAAAATCCTTTATAATTTGCACTCAACATTGTGAAAAATTAAAACCAATGCAAGTTATCATGTTTCTTTGCCTGAGCAAGTTTAAAACATTGGATTTAAGATATTAAAATTCATTTCCATTTAAAAACTTGCTAAAACAATACTTCATATTTTAAAGCTTAACTCTAGCAAAAATCATTTTCAAAGCAAAACATAAAATTTTGAAAACATTAAGCATTGAGTGCTCCCCTTAAATTTGTGCATAAATATAAAAACAAGTTAGTACACAATTAATCACATCAAGCACCAATAACAGTTTCACCAATAATATCCAAATATCAAGATCATTCATGCAATCCCAATATCTAAAGCATTCATATGTAATCTTACAAATTCCTTAGAGCATTTTAAAAATAGCTTATAAAACAATTGATTAATATTTTGTTATTAAAGTATTGACATAACTATATTTATTGTTAAATATTATTTTGATGGAGTGGTGGTGTGTTGATGTTGGTGTTTGGCTTAGTGCTAGTGGTAGGTTTTGGCTGGGGTCGATGGTGCTTCATTGCTCAGGTGGGTGATCCAAGTGAGGATGAGACTGGATTTGCGTGAGAGTAGGGATTGATGTTAGGGAGTAGGCTAATGGCTAGTACTGATAGGAGAGGAGTTTGGTGTGTGTAGGTTTGGTTGGTACTAGTAGGGTTTATACTAGAGTAAGTGAAGGCCAGATGAAGGGATTTTTTGGTGTTAGCCGATATCTCGGGTAAAGTCTATATTGAGGCTTGGCTAGGTGGCATGAGGTGTTTGCAAAGGGTGCTGGGAAGTGTGCTCGAGCATAAGCCGATGCTTGGGTGTTGGTGCTTAGGGGTTATTGTTTAACTTATTAAAATTTTATAATAAATTAAATAAGTAATTAATAAATTACTTATTAATTTGAACAATTAATAACCAATATTGTCTGTTCATACAATCTTATTCGAAATAAAGTAACATAATTTATTTATTAATCTTTTGAATGTTAATAAATTAATATTATTTTATTTTGAAGAAGCATGTATGAACTAAAAAAATTATTTTATGACTAAACAAAATGTTAGAACGATTTGAAATAGATAATTGTTCTAATAGTTTTAACTATTTGAACCGGTTCCGTAAACACATTTATTTTTTAAATCTCTTACTTAATAATTTTTAGAATATTATTAATTTAGCAATATTTTACTTTGAATAAATTTGTATGAATAGAAACAATTATTTTATGACAAAACAAAGATCATAACGATTTGAAATAGATGATTGTTCAAATAATTATAACTATTTAAACTGGTTTGATAAATAGATTTAATTTTTAAATCTCTTATTAATTTTAAAAATATTAATAAATTAGTACTATTTTATTCTGAATAATATTGTATGAATAGAAATAATTGTTTTACGACAAAAAAAAATGTCGTAATAATTTGAAATAGATAATAGTTCAATTATGAAAACATGACTATTTGAAATTGTTAGTAAATAGATATTTTTAAGTCTCCAACTTATTAATTTTTAGAATTAATAAATTAATATATTTTTATTTCGAATAAACTTGCTACGAATAGAAACAATTGTTTATGAACAAATAAAAGATTATAACAATATGAAATATAATAATTGTTCAAATACTCATAAACATTGAACTTGCTAGTAAATAGATTTATTTTTTAAATCTTTTTACTATAATTTTGAAATTTTAAATTAAATAGTATTATTTATTTCGAATAAGCTTTTATGAATAGAAACAATTAGTTTATGACAAAACAAAAGGTCATAACGATTTGAAATAGATAATTGTTCAAATAGTCATAACTATTTGAATGTTTAATTTTTATTGATCAATATTAATTAAAATATTATTAATATTTTAATAATTAATAATAATTAATAATTTTATTAATATAATTATTTCTATTTAATATTTTATCATTGACATTGAAGTAAACTTTTCAAGTAATTAATTAATTATTTAATATAGAATATTAAGATTTTAATAATAATTATCAATTTGAATTGTTAATTATCTATATTAATTATTTAATAGATATAGATTAAATAATAGTTATATAAATATTAAACAATTATTTCTTTACTTATTAATTGTCTTAATTAATATTATATTGATTTAAACTTAATTAGAATAGATAATTGTTCCAAATCTATACGTTTATGAAATTTAATAATTTAATATAATAATCCTTATTAATATTAATCCTTATTATCATACAAATAAAGTAAAGAAATAAATTAAATAATAACTTTATTATAAGAACAAATCTATATATTATTAAATCATAATTTAATCATTTTAGTTAATTATATATAAATAGTATATAGTAATAATAAAGGATGGAAGGAGAGTGGATAAATAATGATTATAATCATGTAAAAAATAGATCTATTATTAATTCATACCAATTAATAATTTTATTATTAAGCTTATGGCTTATTTATAATTAAATAAACAATTATATAAATATTAATTTATAATAAATTATAAAATTATTATTAATGAAATCTATATTACCGAATAAATATTTAGAAAATCATAAATATTTATTTGATAATTTCTTTGCCTTCAATTCAAATAGTTAAGATTCTATGAACGATTATTTATTTCAAATTGTTATGACCTTTTCTTTTATTGTAAAATAATTGTTTTGTTCGTACAACTTATTCGGATTAAAATAACACTAATTTAATAATATTTTGAACATTAATAAGTAAGATATTTAAAAATAAATTTGTTTACTAAATCAATTCAAATTGTTAAAATTATTAGAATAATTATCTATTTCAAATCATTTTGATCTTTTGTTTAGTTATAAAACAATTGCTTCAGTTCATACAGGCTTATTCAGAATAAATTAATTCTAATTTATTAACATTTGAAAAATTAATATGAAAGAGATTTTAAAAAATAAATTTATTTACCGAACAAATTCAAATAAGTAAGTGAATGAAAAAGTGAATATGTTTACCAAATAAGTTCAAATAATTATGACCATTTCAATAATTATCTATTTCAAATTGTTATTACTTTTTATTTGGTTATATGACAATTGTTTTTTATCATACAAGCTTAATCGGAATAAAATAATACTAATTTATTATTTGTTAGCCTTGAATTGACCCTTATTTTGAAATGACAAAACATTAAGCTAAATAAGCTTGATCAAGATTTTGAAAAAGATGTATTTAGTACATGTTTTTAAATTTTATATTTTTTGGTACTAAATAAATAATATGATTTTCAAAGTTTAAACAAACCTTTCTTGGTTCATATTTCTCAAACCAAATCTATCTTTAAAGATTATTTATTTGAGCTTAAATGAAAGTCCAATTGTTGTTTTTAAAGTGAATTTATTCATTTTGGACTTAATACAATTTTACTAATATTAGTTTTGAGAAATAGATTAACTTAAGAAAGCTATTTTACAAGAACAAAGTTTTTCATCATTGAACTTGTTTTATTTTTCTGTATTAATTCACAAAGTTTTAATATTTGAATTTTATATGGTTGAAAAGCTATTTGAGTCTAATTTCTAATGGATTAAACAAAATCAAAATCCAAATTTTTTAAGAAAAGATTTTGAATTTTTACTAGACACTCTGTAGTTGTCTAAAAATTACATAAGGGGTAAATTTGAAAATTCACTATAATTAGTACATAGTGAATTAGGTGATGAACTTTGATAGAAAGCCCTTTAAGTCTAGTTTCTAAATCTTCAAACGGTTTGTAATTTAGATTTGTATAACTCAAGTTATGGTCAAATTAGTGAGTAGAGTACAAAAAGGGAAACAACCACCC